CGTCTGAATTCCTGGGCCAGTGCCACACTGTTTCTCCTCTAAGTCCTTGCCTTTTTTATACTAATTCATTAAACATGCAAATACCCACCCTGGGTATTGGTGAACTGGGCAAAGCAAAGACACGCCTGGCCCAAAATGCTCATACTGAAGTTTTCCTTGGACTCCTGGGTGATTCATTGGGGGGGGGTGTCCCAAAAAAGGTGAGGGTTCAAAGAAAATGGACGTCATGTGCTCATCCTCCTGACTCAAAGGACAGGCACAGGGCCGGAAGCCCAAGGATGCTGTCTAACCACAGTCATTCAGGCTTACAAAATTAGAAGCCGGAGGCCTATAAGTCCGGTTCTGTGGGAGGCACAGGTGGGGGGGCAGTGGGATGAGTGAAGCAGGCCTGGGAGAGTTCAGCAGGGAACAGTGTGGGCTGTAGTGAAAGGACACATAGCTCAGCTCTAGCCAATTGGTGCTTTGTGGGTATCTGGAAATCTGCTTTGTGACTCCAATCAAAATAAGCTGGAAATCCATATTTAAGTGTAATCTTATGATTTTAAAATATTGGCAACAAATTGCACTTAAAAGGGGAAAACTTCAGGAAATGCAGAATTTGTCTGCAACGTGCCATTTTGGGACTTCTATGAGAGACGATTCCTTAGAAACCAGGTATCAATCCAGGTCCTCATGCCAGTATATTGTGCTGTTTCTCTTCCTTTCTTCTCTCAAAATGAGTGCACAAGGATGGAGTGTGGGGCAGGAAAATAATTGGGGGTTACTTCAGGAGTCAACTCGTTGACGGGTTTGCCCTTCCAGCCAGCACACACAGGAAGCAGTGACCTCAGGAGGATCCTGGCGGTATCCAAACGAAGATGACTGAAGGGTTGAACCCTGACTTAGAACTTGACTGGGACGTGGTCTTTTGTTCTCAGAACACTCACAGTGTGGACGATAGCTCTGCCTGTCTGACTGCTCCTTGCTTGTCCCTCCCCTGAATCTACTGTGTTCCAAGCACAGCAGCCTTCAACAACTCCCTCTGAGCCCCAGAGTCAGCTCAGCACCACTGTTCAGCTTTGTCCCAATCTTTTGGCCTTGGAATGCTCATCACGCTGGCCCCCAGGTGCTCTCTTCTGACCTTTCAGTGTCAGCTTCCAGGTTTTCAGTTGAGACAACTTTTCTCTGACCACTGCAGCTACCCAGGTCTCCACACCCATTCAAATGATTTCACATTCTTCAGAACAGTTTTGCCCATCTGATATTATTCATTTACTACTACCAATGGTAGCTATCATTCCTGATTTACATAATCATTTACATAATTATTGCCCACTAGAATGAAAGTTCCAACAATCCGAGGGCGGGGTCTTCCTCTTTCTTCTCCACTGCTAAATCCCCAGGATCTGAATAGTGCCTGGCATTTAGTTAAGTGCTCAGTAAAGGCAGTGATCAATAATAATTCATACAATATCCAGATAGTCGTGTGCGACACATGGCACTAATCACTTTACAGCCTTAACTCATTTAATTATCTCTACAATTCTATGAGGTAGGTGCTATTATTATCCCCATTTTAAAGATGATAAAACTGAGGCACAGAGAGGTGATGTTTATGCTGCCACTAAATGCCAGTGCTGGGATCTGCATCCAGGCAGGCTAGTCTTGGTTCATGACTTTTCTTCTGTCCAGGTAGAGCTCAAATTGGGGCTGCGGGGTGGGGCAGGGAGGTGGTGTCTGTCGCAAAGAAGTCTGAACACTTGAGCTCCGGTTCCAGCTCTAAATCCAGAGAGGCTTCCTTTCATCTTCTCCGTGTGTGTGTGTGAGCAGCAAGCTGGTACCACTCTGAAAAATACATGGCTTAGTCGTAAGCCTCTTCCTGGAGGCAGATACCCACAAGCATAATTATTCCCTCCGATCATGTGTTCCTGCCGTTGATGAGCCACGAGGCCATGTCTGCAGCATCACTGGCTGCTCAGGGACGCCTGTGACGAACCAAAATATTATTCTTTTAACCAATGAAGCAGTGAGCGACAGGAGTTGAGTTATGGAGGACAACCTTCGAGGATGTTTAGACACATGATTAAGTGGCGATTTGGGGGCTGGAGAAAGGAGATCATGGACATCCAAGGAGGTGTGCCTGTGCGGACGTCGCAGCGTTGCTTGTAAGCGGATGCCTGGGCTGGAAGCTTACCTCCGGCTCCCGCTGCTTGGAGGAGTCTCAGTTTATCAGTTTACAACCCTGCCCACGTTTTCAGTTCCTTCTAGTTACTGCCTTGGCTCTTGACTGATCTCCTGGTTTTTCAGAAATTAGGGTTGGGGCGGAATGCAAAGAAACCACAGGTTAACGTTTCCATCAGGAGGCCGGGATTCAACGAGGTCTGCTGAACCAGGCCCAGTCAAGACGTCGCTGTGGAACTTGTTCCTCCAGACAAGGAAAACTAGGCATGGACCCATTAGATGGGCGTTTTGACTAATGGTCACTGTCTGTGCATCAGTTAAACACGTCTTGTTTCAGGTTGATTCGCACTATTGTCTGAAAGATCAGACACTGTGGCTGAAGTGCCTTGCGCAGTTCTGGGCCCTGCATGAATGAAGCCGACAGTGACGGCAATGGCCGATACTAGATTCCTGATTCTTTTCTCTCCCAGGCTGGAGTTCAGAAGGAATGCTGTGGGCAGCCCCATGGCGTCCATACCTGCCTTCGCCGCTCTCTCCCAGAGACTCTCGTTTGCATTTCAAAGATTAGAGATGGCTTTTTAAACATTTCAGACCAACCCACTTTGATTTCTCATCTGAGTTTCCAAGAACTGACTCCCCGGTGGTGCTATAGACAAGAGCACAATAACAGCCTAGATCAGAGCTGCACCCCACCCCCCTGCACCGCATGGCCGCTCAGTGCCCCTTTGGTTGTGTAGGGGTGAAGTTCTTCGCTGTTTAAAATCCATTTTATGGGCTTATTGGTATGAGCGGCTGGCTACGTGGGTGTGGCCTGCACAGTCACCCATGGGCCATGCGCAGAAGGGCCCCTCGCTTGGCTCTGCAGTCATCATTTTGAAATTCTTAATAATGTATGAAAGAGTGGCTTTGCAGATTATATGGCTGCGCAGACTGTCCTGCATGTCTGATACACAGAAACATAACTGTGTAAGTTTGGGTTTTATAAAATGTTAATAGAGCATTTTGGAGCTCTTGAAAAAAAAAGCTACTGTATATAATTCAATCATCTTTTAGTGAGACCAGTCTTCTGTAATCTCTCTCATTAGGATCAGGAGTAAAATGAAATTTCTAAAGAGACGAATTACAGAAATCCGTTTGAAACAGAAGACCAGTACAGATAGTCTGGCACTGTATGAGATCACCCTGTAGCTTTCATCATTCCTTCTGGCTTGCTTAAGGAGTTTGCCCAGACTGAGCCCAACATCACTAGCATATAGAGAGGTTAGGCCCAGAACCACTGGGCCATCAGAAAGAAATCGCAAGTCCTGGGAAACTAAGAGTGCCTTCTCTAGTGATCCTTTTTCTCTCCTTCTTGGCTTTGGAAAGCCAAGGTCTGGCATGACGCCTAGTCAGCCTTAATTCAGATGAATATTGTTTCATAATTATTTCTAGATCCATAATTCTAATTTTTAAAATAAGATATGCTTGCAGTTGGACCACATTCAGGAATATAGAATAACCTAAATTAGTCTTAAAAAGCTTTATGTTTTTTTCTTTCCTCAAATAGAGGTTCTTCTGGGATTAGCTTTAATGAATAGAGAAGAATAATGCATAATTAGCATATCGGTTGTTTAACACATTCAGGAGAATAGCCTTCTTAAGCACTTTAAGAAATGTGTGTATAAAAACTCTCTGAGCTATGTTTATGGTTTTAATGTGTTCAATAAAACTCTTCTTCATGGATTCCTCAAAGGTCAGTTTTTATCCAGCTTATGTCTGTATTTTCATAAATTGCGAATTTGAGAATTCCAAAATAAAGAGGCTTTTCTCTATAATAAATCAAGACACTCAGTGGGAACACTTCACAATCCCCACTTATAACCCATCCTAGTGTCTGCTTTTGCCTTTTGCAGTTCAAGAGAGCTCCACAAACTGGAGCCTACTTTTTAATTGTTAGTTGTTTTTGGTCTCAAAAGTGAAAAAACAATGCCTTATTTGGTGCATATCAATTTATAAAAGAAGCCAATGATGGTTTTGATCCCTCAGCCAGCCTACCCTCCTGTATTTGCTACTACTTCATTCCTTCCCTGCAGCAGGGAACTGGCCAGGCCTGACTCTCATGCATCGTCCTCTCCCAGGGCTTGCATCTCAATGACCGACAATGACCTAGGAGTCACCCTTGACACTTCATCCTGTTCCATCCTCTGCCCATATTCAACCTGTCCTCAAGCCCTGTCAATCTTCCTGACCAAAACCACTCGAGTACCCATCTCCCTCCAGCTCTGCCAGCTCTATCCTCATCCAAACTTTGATAGTCCCATATTCTGATTTCCTGCTGCCATCTTGCCTCCAGAGCCATCCTCCACACACCAGCCAAGACAATCCTCTTAAAACATAAACCTGATCACACCGACTTGCCAGCTTAAAATCATCTTTCAGGGCCTCCTCAATGATCTTAAGAAAAAAGCCAAAGCCATGAAAATGGGTTTCTTGGTCTTATAGGTCCAAACTTGCCTCATCCTCTCCTCTCCCTCTCTCACTGTGGCCCAGCTACAAAGGCTTTCTTTGGCTTCCTTAAATTGTCAGCTTCCTTCACCACTAGGACTTTGCATTTGCTTTCCTTCTGTGCGGGGGGGGGGGGGTTCTCTTCCCCACAAAATCTCCTTTCTTATCTTCCTCACACTTCCAAGAATTCATAATCAAACGTTTATCTCTACAATGGTCTGGCAAACGTTGGTATGCCCTTCTAGATCACCATCACTTTGTGTGGTCATGCTCTCCCCTGGAGCTCTAGCTCTAGTCCCAGGCTGTTGACGTTGGAGGCTGGAGGTGATCCTCTCCCATATCCCACACCCACTCACCGCACTCATGAGCGAGTCCAGGACGCTGACTGCAAATGCTGTTCCACATGCAAATGGCTGCGTGAGGTACAGTTCTGTGTCGGGGTCATCATCATCATCTTGGTCCAAAAACTGAACGTTAGTATCGTTCACTAGAAAAAGTGTGAAATGAGAATTAGCTCAAAAGACCACACACACACACACACACACACACACAAACACTGAAGCCAGGAAGAGAGCAGGCTACTGATTTAACAACACTGAAGTCACTGGAAAGGAGAGAAAAGCATGGGAGAAGCTGTCGATGAATCTTGGGGTGGGAGCCGGTGGACTCAATGGACTGCTCCTGTGTGATTGTTCAAGCTTCCCAGGCCTGGAGAGCCAGTGAGTTCAAGCAGCCTTGCTCCACAGCAGACCACCGGAGAATGGCTGAACAGTGCTGGTCAGTCCTTTGGTATAGTTTTAGAATCGTGACCGAAAAACACCCTGAGGTGTTTTTCGGTCACCAGGTCCTTTGAGAGATGGATGTATTTCAAGGATGAGTAGCCATGAGTAGCCATGCTGGGATGCTAAGTTTAGCCACAGGAAAAGAAAGCAACTTATCGAGACCAAAGAGCAGTAGACTAGGAGCACAGCAAAGGCAAAAAGCAAGGAATTCACCTGCAGGCAGGACCTACAGCCTGCCTGGGGTTGGCCCAGGGAGGGTCAGGTGTCCCTAGCCGTGAATCCAGGCCCATGCCGACAGGCCCTGTTGGACAGAACAGTGACCCCAGCTGGGACGGATCCCTGGCTGTCTCTGGCTGCTTGCTGACAAGGACTTGCTGTGCATTCTGAGCTGCATGGGGACGCCCACGTTCTCCCTTTCCCCTTCTACACAGTTCAATCTTTTAGATGCTGCAGCTCTAGGAGAAGCAGCATTTGATGCTGTAGTTCATTTCCATCTGAGGATTCCTCAAGGACTCCTCCGGCAGGCACGTGTAGACTGATTGGCTGTATCACTAGATGTCTTTAACTTATTAAAAATTAAATGACAAATTAATTTCCATTCCCATCTTGGCTTCAGAAATTATCAGTTTTGCAGAGCAAGTAATAGGGAAGAAAGTGTGTGGTGGGAGAGGAGATGAGCACTTGTGATTTTTGGATAATTATGGCACTTTTAGGAAAAGAATAGATGAGGTTTCCTTCTTCTGATTCCTTTCTAAATGTATCAGTAGTGAATTCTCTTTCCTAGAGTTATTGTTTTAATTTTTTATTTCCTGAGCATAACTTTTTGGATAAGTTTGGTTTTTTTTTTTTTTCAACCTTTGCTTGTTTATTGTATAAGGCAGAATAAATGATAATAGGATATCAGGCTAGGCATGGAATTAGTTTTAAATGACACCATCTTGTTTCCCTAGAGAAAAATTTTAATGGGGGAACATCTTTGCTCAGCAACACTTGAATTACAGGCTGGTGGGTAAAAGTACAAAATGCAGGATCAGACAAGTAAGCTTTAAACCCAGCCTCTGTACTAACTCTGTACAAGCGATGCATTTTATCATTCTGGACCTTAGTTTCTCTCTCTGTAAAGTGGGAGAAATACTAGGAGCACTCATGAGACTGTCAGGAGGCTCCTAGGAGATTGTACTTGGTGAGCCTGGCCCAGGACCTTGATAAGCATTAGTTTATCTCAAGATTGCCTTTCTGATTAAATGCTCTGTCTACCCTACTATGTTTGGAAAATTCCCAGCTTCCCTCCGCCTCTCTCAGAAGCGAGTAAGGCCTTGCTCGGGGATCCTATAGAGTCAAATGGTAGCTTTTCCTCTCCTCCCTCCATTTACCACTTTATGAATCAGAAAATGTAAACTCTGGACAATATGCAGAGAAGCATGGTTTTAATTACTTGGGATAGCCAAGGATGGTGTGTGTATCGACACTCTGAAAGAGGTAGGGTCTGCTCTCTCTTTTCAAGAGCACATGGAAGGGCTGGTAGTGTACTTGGAGGGGAAGTGGTCACTGGAAGGGAGAGGTGACTAGATTGTCAGCGAGCCAGGTATCTTGGTCACTGGGATGCAGGAACCAGGATTCCATGAAAATCCTGGGCCTAGTTCTGGGAGCATCTCAGAGGGAAATCAGTGTTACCCAAAGCCTACTTCACAGAACAGTAATTATGTGGTGCTAACAGGTGATTTTTAAAACTCCCCCCGCACCCAAAATGTTTTATGGTCATAGAGGACTGGGAACCAGGTTAAGTAGCTTTAACAAATGTCCTTCTTGTGGAACGTCTAGAAGCTTCTGGCCCACTATCATCAATTGAAACTCTCCAGGTGGATGAAGACTAGAATATACTACAGAGTTTTTAAAAACCTGGCTTCCCTCTATGCTTTTTAGAAGGCATTTGACTTGTTTGGTGTGATGCAGACCACATTCAGAACATGTAGGTAAATAGTAAATATTGGTGGGGTATGGGGAAGCGAGGTGGTCAGACAATGATGGTATGCTTGCTTAAGGTGGTATGACCACCAGGAAAATAGAGCTTAGTGTAGGTGGTAAGGGCGGTGTGAACACATGGAAGGTTGTCCGAACTCAGAGAAGAAATCTGGGGAGGGACGAAGGCTATGGGAGAGTCAGTTATGCTAACTGAATGCCTGCATCGTTGCCTCAGATTTGGGGCCCCAAGCCTTCTCTTTTCTCTTCTCCTAATCACAAATCGAGATATCCTAGTTAGTTGGTAGCACACAAACTCAAAACAGAAAAAGAAATCCCTGGCAGTCGTGATTTTGAAATGCAGCTGCAGGTTTCTGAGAAGGAGATATCTGGATGAATTTTCCAACCAGCGGTCTGGGCTGCACGAGCTCCCTGGCCTCTTACAACCCTTAGGTCCTGAGAAGAGCAATCCAGAAACCTAGGCTTTTAGCCAACTTCTCTAAACATAAAAAAGACACCTCTCCTGCTGCTGGAAACAGAAAATAGTGCAATACTCCTTGACCTGAGTGAATTTGTCCTGATAAATAGCTCCGTCTACAATAATGCAGTGCTGAATGGCGGACAATTTATTCCTTAGTTTCCAGACACCTCACAAGCAAGATGACTGTGTTAAAAGCCTGCTCTCTTATTTTGAAATATATTTGGGGGCCAAGAGAATGGTCTGTTCATTTCATCTGTGAGTCATTGGAAGGCAGGTGCTCCCCACCTCCCCATCCACCCCTCTACAGAACAGCACTTCCACTGTCTCTATTTAGAAGATCAATCCCCAGTTCTGAGACCTGCTGTTGATGGGCGCCTTTTACAGAGTTATTAACCAAGTCACAGGGAAGCGTGAAGGGCCTGACAGATGTCGTCATGACCAGGACCCTTCATCTTCCTGGTAAGTCCACTCTGAATCTCTGGGAGGCTATGGACCAGCCAGGTAGGGGCCACAGGGCAGGGCTGGGCCTCAGTGGCCACTAACCCTTCGTCCTTGGCACCCTTCTTGAAATCTAACTTTCGTAAGGAAATGTCCCCTAGGAACTGACTGCTTTTATGGCCTCAGCTTCTGAGAAAAGGCCTCATAGTGGGGAAAAAAAAAGGCAAATAAAGTCAGAATAAAGGAAAATAAACAGCTGGAGGGAAGGCTCCGTCTTAGGTTTCTTATCTTAAAATTTTTATATTTCTCCTTTGACTTCTCTGAGAGCTGTGAAGACATGTCAGTCAAACTGACAGCTTGTTGGAAGAGGACTATAAGGGAGAAGGCGGGAGAGCAGGGGGACACATAGAAGGGGTGGGGGAAGGCCCAGGCCAAAGAAAATGAATTAGAGCAAAGATGCTTTGGAAACAACTGCCAGGTCAGATGGGTGTGATCAAAGCTTTACTGATGCTGTGTGGGGAAAAAAATCATTAAGAAAGGCCAGAACAAGACAGTCGATTCCAACCAGAGCCACAAATAAAACACAGTCAAAGCAGTGCCATGGGGTAGTCTTTCTGTTACAGCCCATGAAAGAAAAAACAAGCCAATGAGAGTTGGAAACACCAACAACAGAACAAAAGGAGATACTGATGTGAAGGAAAACAGTGCTTCTTACCCAGTTCGGTTATCATTAGAATGTGCGTCCCACTGTTTTTTTCCTGATTGACTGATACCAAAGGCAACTTGCCAGGTTTAGCTAATTGGATACAGCATTTAAGGGTTGGGGAAAGGGAGTGGAGGAAAGTACAGAAAAAGAGAGCGTGAGGGAGTAACAGAGGACACACTGTAACGTAAGGGGACCCAGAGCCATAGGTGGTTAGTAGTCTTGGTGGGGGGAAGGCACCACTCAGCAGCTTTGCAAATTCACAGATGGTAGGAGGGAATGCCACTTCGGGATTAAAAGTTGCATTCCACTGGCCTGTGATCATGGCCATCCAAGCTCCATGATATTTCAGGCCAGAGTGGCATTCACGGACAATGGCCTTTAGTTGAGAAGTTCAGCTAAGATAGATGAAATGCCCATTGCTTCCACCCAGTTCTCAGAATGGGTCTGGCTTCGACCTGAGGCTTTGTACCTCAGTGGAGGGCTCTGATTGCAGGAGCTGTCTGGAGGTGCTTCCAATGAAAATCACCAGAAAGAGTCCATGGATTATGCCTTTCCTCCTTTCCTCCCCCTTCCCTAATTTATGCCCCAATCTCAAATCCATCATCTCAAGCTTTGTTGAGAACAGTGACCAGCATGAAGGAAACTGTCTATTCATCGCGGAGGAAAGATAGATCAGTTTTCCTTTTGGTATTGTCATATTGTTACCCATACCTCTCTCCACCTCCCCCAAAACAAACCCTACTAAAGCCCTCTATGCTGAAGGAGCTAAGAAACAGGCTACCCGCATACCCTATGTGGCTGGAAGAGAGGACAACAAAATCTTCCCAAAGCTGAGATTCACTCCTACCTAGTTCAGTAATGATGGGGATGTTGACCCCAGTCGTTATAGATGGTTGACGTAACATCCCGTGCACTGGGCTGTTATCTGGAGAGGATCTGTCCATTCCTGGAGGTGTGAACCCTAGTAGAAAAGAAAGAGAGAGGGAGAAAAGTCAGCGGCATGGAAAGCTTGGGAATACTATGAATAATATACATACACAATAAAAAATAGTTTATGCATTATTTACAGATCAACAATTAGCACTCACGGAATATACTCTTGTGTGTTGCTTTTGTGAAGTACAAAGTAGGAGGCCATTATAAATAATTCTAACCTGCCTTGATAGCTCCCTAAAAATGAGTCTCTACACCAATTACTGATCTTGCTCACAGATTTTTGTTCCCCTCACCTTCCAGGTAGATAAGATTGTACCTCTGTGCCTCCATGTGACACAGAAAATGCTTTGGGCCATGATAAGTGAATAGAACAGTGTATACCATTGCTTCTGGTACAAACATTTGACTTTCTGCCCCCTGTCCCAGACTGTGGCAACCATGGGAACTTGGGTTACTATGGAGACGAAGACTGGGCAGTAGCTCTGGACAACAACCCAAACCACAAAGCATTCTGAGTGAGTAAAGAGGTGATCTGTGTCGCTCGAAGACACTGGGGATCATGGTGTTGTTGTTATCACAGCATAACCTAACCTATCCTGACTATTACCATAAACTAACCGATTATTCTCTTGCCAGTGAGTGACTCAAGTCAGAGATCTTGACAGATTCTGGTCAAAGGGAAGTGGGAAGAAATTTGCTTGGGGGCTTTTAAGAAGTGTTTGCTTACTCTTAAAAAGAACACGCAGGAAGACATTCTCTTAAGAGATTCTCTTTTAATTCACTGGACGTTGCTGTTGTACCTGTGGTGCCTGGAACCATGGCAGCCATCTTGCAACTGGGATGGGCATCAGCTGAAGACAAAGCCAGCTTAATGAGACTGGCTGAATGAATGATGGAAAGACTTAACAACAGAAATAACTCCTTGAGGGAGTGTCTGGGTGGCTCAATCAGTTGAACATCGGCTCTTGTTTTCGGCTCGGGTCATGATCTCAGTGTCATTGTCAGATTGAGCCCTGCATTGAGCTCTGTGCTGGGCATCGAGCCTGCTTGGGATTCTCTCTCTCTCCCTCTGCCCCTCCCCTACTCTCTCACTCTCTCGCAAAATAAATAAATAAATAATAAAATAGAAAGAACTATCATTGAGTTACTGAATTAGCTAACCTTAGAGCCAAAACCAACTGACCTCAGTATTTCGTATTCATGAGACTTTACATACAGTATATATGAATGAGATTATAATATATACTATGATAATGAGATCATGTGCATATTTTATATATAATTATATGTATATGTACATATAATTTTTTTATCGTAAAAAATCCTGAGGCAGGATACGTTGGTTTTGTACACACACACACACACACACACACACACACACACACAGAGTTTTATATGTATGTAATTTATTCTTCCACAACACAGGCTTGAGCTGTGTGGATCCACTTATATGTGAATTCTTTTTGATAAATATAATGTATCCCTATAAATGTAATTTCCTTATGACTTTCTAAATAACATTTTCTTCTCTCTAGCTTACTTCATTGTAAGAATATAGGATATAATACACACAACATACCAAATGTAGGTTCCTCGACTGTCTATGTTTACCAGTAGGGCTCCACTCACCAGTAAGCTCTTAATAGTTAAGTTCTGGGGACTTGAGTTATGCATGTATTTTCAACTGTATCTGGGGGGTGGGGGCTAGTGCCCCTCAACTCTCCATTGTTCAAGGGTCAACTGTATGTATTTTTCCTTTTGCGTGAGCCCAAATGAAGAGTTTTCTTTTCTTTTCCTCTGCAGCAGAATTCATTCTGACTACCACTCCCCTGGTTTGTCGCAGGTCCCAGAACTCCCCGACCTGCCAAACACAGACCTCATACAGTAAATGCAGGCACAGGACATTGGATAATAGCCTACTTGGTTTCTGACTTTTGCCATTTGGGCTTCTCAGACCCAAATCCCAAGGACATGTTAAAATGAGCTTGGCCCAACCACGACTTCAAGGCTGAGCGGATGCCTCTTTAAGCATGTGCATAGAGACCTATAAACATGAGACATTTATTTAACCCCATATATTCATTTGGCGAAAATTAATTTTATCCAGGGATGGCTGTAGCAAGTGCTACCATCAACTCTGTGCTGGCTGTAAGACCCAGTTTGCTCCCAACCTTAGAGGACAGGCAGACAGATATTCACATTCACTTTGGTTTCCCTTCTTTGTCCTTCGGGGATTGGCTAGGTGGGCTTACCAGTGAATTAAAGATTTGCAGATACAAAGTCACTTGCTAAGTTTCCAAGGTCTCTTCCAAATAGGCCATGTGGCCAGATCCCTGACTTGGTCTCCAGTATTGTGGCAGTGGTGGGCTGATTCTGGTTTACAGTTCATGTGAAGCTCCGTCTATCCGGACTGAAATGACAGGTGCTCCGTAATTGCCTGTTGTTTTCGAGGTGCATAATGCATGAAATGCCAGCACAATATAAAAGGGTCTCCCTATTTCCTGCTCTCCTGTGTATAAATTTCATACTATTGAATGCCATACTTTCAGGAAGAAAAGTATCATTTATTGTTTGTTCCCTCATTGCACTTAATTTTACTCTTTATGTGGGTATACTGTGCACAGGGTAAGTAATGTCGAGTGACAGTATAATGTCCATCTTTCTAAACTTTGGAATGTGTGTCTTTCAGCCAACCACATAACCAAAAACATGCATTTTAAATGCTAGCTGTTTTCTTCCCCAGAATAGTGAAGGGGAAAACTAAACTGTTTCCATCAGAAGTTTCACTCAAAAGCATGAAAAACTACAAGTGACAGCCGTGCAGATTCGGTGGATATGACGTTTTTGAATTTCTTCAACTTGACAAGTAAACACCTTACATCGGTAATGCTATATGCATAATACATGGCCTGTATTTTGACATCCATCATCAAATGCTGACTTGAGAAAATACGGGTCTGTACGTCAAGGAATAGCACCCATAAAACAGGGAGAAATGCAGGTCACACGGTATTAGGAAAACTGTATTTCATTACAGAACGTGCAACAAGCCACAGCATCCTTTTATTTTATCTTATTTAAAGATTCCATTTTCAGCTGTGAAAAGACTCAACTCCTCTGCATGAAACCTTCATTTAGAAATGACATGCTTGCCTCATAGGCATATTTCATTTTGCTTTCATATTCCATTTTCCCCTTTAGTCGCCAAGCCTGGCTCCATTAGCGTCTACAACTGACAAACTACAGTGGGTGTCCAAGACATCTCTCCATTAAAAGTTCCTTCTCTTTCCTATGCATGACCCCAAGAACAGGGGGCTTTTGTTGGCAAGAAAACTTCAGCAATGATAAGGTCTTTCTCTTTTGCTCCTTTTCTAGCTACATATTGTTCACAGCAAAAAGCAGAGACAAAAGAAATAGATTTCACCTTTTTTTTCCCTCCCCCTCCCGTAGAGTTGTGTGAAAGATAAACAGAATTCATCACCATTGGTTTCTTAGAGGTCCTAATATGGAAAACCTGTGGTTTGAAATGACAGGGCTGACCCAGATTCCCTAAATGGCCTTGGAGAGAAGAGAAATTCAGGTACCTTCCTCCGGAAGAGAGGAGGCACTCTGGCCTTTGATGGCATCTACCCCATTTGTCAGAGCAGCCATTGATAAAGGGGCAGCTCTAAATTGTGTCCAGTTGTCTTCCTCCCTACCCCATCATTGTTTGCTGCATGGACACATCTTTGGTTGAACTTTAAGTCTCTCTACATAAAACATCACTCCAGTTCCACATGAGAGAGCACGGGCCCATAAAATATACTCCAGGGATCATAATCTACAACTGGAGAATGGTGAAATGAGCAAACTCTCCTTTCAATAGTTAAACTAACACTTGAGAAATTAATTTCAGAAACAAACACTTATTTTGCCAAGAGAGAGGACTAAGCATGTTGGTGTCTGAGAGATAGGATGAGAAGTTCTTAATCAGGAAAAGATCCAAGTTCAGTCACTCTTACGGAGATGGCCTCCTGATTCTTTAGATATATCCCCGTTCTCTCTGTTGAGCATGGCCAGAGGAGGCAAGTTTGGAGCTAAAAATGACTTCCAAAGATGACCTGATCTCATTAAAGTGAAAGCCCCTCCCCATTCCAATCCTCTGGGGCAGATGAGAGGTGCTTATGTTTCCTTTCCATTCTTTAGGCATTAGCCATAAATGGACCCAACACGCCCCCTCCTAAGCATGCGCACTCAGCATGCTATATGAGAACTTCAGGCCAGAGACTGAGTTTTCTATTTTTTAAAACTTCCTAGATTGTCTTTGGAATGCCTGCCCATAGAGAAGAAATGGAGTGGAATAGTTAGAAGTATGACCTTTGAAGTCAGATGTCTTAGGTTCAAAATCTGATTCATTTACTTCTGAGCTACATAACTATGAGCATAGCTCTGACTCCGTAAGCCTCTGTTTCTTTGTCTATAAACTGGAAGTATTTCATATGTAGAGCAATTGTAAGGATAAAATGAAATAGTGTATTCAGAACATTTAGTATAATGCCTGGTACAAAGCAAGTACTCAAAAATTCGACTACTGGAGATAATACTTCGCTAGGTACACAGTAAGTATTTGTGGAAAAGTATAGCACCCATCACCACTTCTTCCCTATGGATAAAGAATCGAGGAAGATTTTGGCATTTTTTTTTTTTTTTTAATTTTCGTGTAGAGAAAACCCTACAAAATTAATGGTAAGGCAATGAGCAGTGTGAATCCATTTTTGTAGGAATAATTAGATCACTTCAGTGATAAAAATGAATTTCAAAATATCTAAGGATATAATTCAGTAACTCAAAAATTTTGAAAGATTTTTGTGTAGGGAGATGGTTAGGATTTTCTTTAGGTACACTGAAAACGGGGGCCAGTTGTTGAGAAAGACTAAGAAAGTCTCTTAATTCCTTATAGCAACGGTAGAATCTCTCTGGAGCCTTCTTTTTTCAGACCTACTCTCCCCCTACTCTAATTATTTAGGAATATAAAACTTCCTTCTT